TATGGTATTCAAATTAGTATCGGAGTTGGTTTGGTGCATCACTAGAGCATCTCCTCGGCCCTCCACCTGTCTCCCTGACTGTTCCTGAGGGTGATGCTTGGGTTTAGATTGAAGGAGTGGGACGCTGCTTCCCCTGGGGGGAGGGGTGGAACTCTGCTGCAGAGTGACCCAGCTTGTCGCTCGCTGACCTGTGAGAGGGACATTATGAAGTGTGAGTGGCTGTCAGTCTAACCATTTGTGACAGCATGGCTCCCGGTGCAGCTGTGTCGTCATGGCCCAGGCTTAGACCCACAGTCCAGTGAGGGGCGAGAGGAGGAGAGCAGGATTCTCCAAAGGGGGTCTGCTGTACGGGATAATACATGGTGCTTGTGTTGGACCGGAGAAAGAATGTAGCTGCCTTACACTTCTTAGACCTCTTGTACAAAGTGAACTTCAGATCCTGGCAAAGGTGGACTGGCTCTTAAAGCACAAAACCTCGGATTTAATACAGTTGTTGTATGCATGATATGTATGTATGTACAAAACTCTCCATGTGTCAGTCATTGACACCAACCTCAGCTACACAATCAGATATTTTCATGTGTTGCAAAGGTCAATGATGTCATTCACTTAGCTTGTCTTTAAGGGTGCACAAGGTAATTTTCCTGGTGGAGGGTCCACCACGGCTTGCCCCATGGGTACGTTCTTGTCTAGAATGTTCAATAGCAGAAAAAATTACATAGTGCACTTTTAAATAAAGTTGTTCTTAAGCAGTTGACTCTGTAATCATTGCATCTGGACTGATTTAGGCATTGTCAATCTTAAAATTGTGAATTTTAAGTGTGAACATCAATTAATGTACAGGTGGTAATGAAAAAGTTAAAATAATTTTTTGTTGTTATTCTCTGTTCCACTTCATAAACAGTTTTTAATGATTCTCATACAGCTCTGGTCCATGTTTGAACCCTCCTCTTCCATGTCACAGCTGACCTGCTCCTCTCTGCAGGCCTCTGGTAGCACCCAGCTGGCACACTGTCCCGGGCAGAGGCAGTGCCAGCTCTACTGGTGCAGAAGGACCACACCAGGCAGACAGGCCCAGTGTCAGGCGCAGCAGCAGCAGCAGAGGCTGTCCCCCGGCTCCACATCCAGCAAACATATGCTCACTATAAATACAGCCCCTGCACATGGACACCAGCATCAGTCGACCAATGCCAAATAGGTTTGGTCTAACAGGGACCATGTTAACTGGGACAAAAACATAATTGCTCACCAGAATGGTTCACACATTCATTTCATGGATTTAAACTCACCCAACATTAAATAAAAGGCTACTATTATTTTAGTGATCTTGAGAAAATGGATAGGTAGTTAATCCACTAGACATAAGTTACCTTTTCCTAATTGCTTCAAGTTAATTTCTGCTAAACACATGCGGTTTCAGAGCAGCTTCTTGCGTGAACATCGTCTGAAGACACAAGCCTGTGTTTGGGCCATGGCTTTGGATTGGAATGATCCACAAATTAGTTTATAGATCAATGTTTTTTCTCTTCTGTTTATTAGCAACATTCTGGCATTGTGGTGCTTTGTTTTTGAGTGAGTGAGGCAAGGCTGACAATTGTACCCTTGTACCTTTTGCACAAATTCCATATATATATACATACATACATATGACCTCTTTTCCTGTTTTTATAGCCTTCTTATAGAGTACTTGGACGTTGTATGCTCTGAACTGTTGTACAATAATAGATTGTTCTGGTATTAATCTATTTCAACACCAACCTCAGCTACTTGAGCAGATAAGTTTAAATGTCAGGGACTATACACTATCCAATAGAAAAATGTCAATTTAATGGTAATGTCATTTTTGATTGCAAAGGAAATTGTAGTATAATCTACTGAAAATGAAACTTGTGGATTTGAATATTTTTGATTTTGTGTCGCCATCCAAACTTCCTTATTTGTGTTTGCAACTGTGTGAGTGCTGACCTCTTCTACAGAGACCCCCAATTGTGTTGCAGTCGCCCACCGGGCTCACTGAAGCGGGGCCTATATGCTCACTGGCATTTCACACACTTGATTGTGTGCAAGTAAACACACATGAACTGCATTTATCCAGCTGGGGTCCTTCTATGCACACACATGTAAATACACACATGAACATTGACATTATGTTGGATATGGAAATAATGGTCTTGTCTTCTAATGTATGGCTTCAATCACTGTATCCTGACACACGTGCACTTCAGTCACCCCTTGCCGTCCCGAGGATTTGAGGTGCACTTCCGCATTAAAAGTTGTTCAACATTGGCTTTTGATAATCAAGACAGAATCCAATTGAGTTCCCCCAAGCGTAATACTCGAGCTTTTTTTTCGTGCACACTTTTTGAGGAGACGGGGGCCTGTACTGTTTCAGCTCATCCATCTGTGAGATTCTCCGTTCCCCTTTTCCAGTCCTGCCATCATCTCACTAATGGTGTTTCTATCTCTTCTCCATAGGTGGCAAATGAAGCTTTTAAGCAGGGCGGAGGCGAGGGGGAGAGCTGAAAAGATTAATTGACTTTCCGTGGAGCTTCACTTATCCTCCTCTGCCACCTTTGACTTGTCAGTGTATTTGTGTTTTGATTACATGATTATATCACCGTTATTGCTGCAATTTGTGGCCTGCTCCAAACTGCGTCTAAAAAACATCAAACTGTGTCCTATTAAGCCTTCCATCCACTGTGGCCTTATGGTACATTTGTGCACTTTGGGTACACTTTGTAGCCTGTGGTAAAATAAATAATAATTATGCAGAAGTTGCAACTTAGTTCGTTTTTAAAAGTAACATCCAAACAGCATTAAACATTACTTTCTTCTAAAAACTATCTCAAGATTAGATACTTTTGACAACTGTTTTTTTCTGGGAATTAAGGTACGCGCCAGGAACACAATCCATTGTCTTTCTATAAACTAAAAATATAAATTAGGGTCAACCAATAAAAATCTCATATGTTGTCTGAATGTTTGCTAATTAAAGACAAACTTGTTTCCTAAAGCAGCACCTCTCTATGCTCCTTCCACAGACTTTTAGCACTTGCAGCGGGAGTTAAATGTGTGAATGTACAAAGAGTTGACTCCACGCGAAGCCACCCCAGCCGCCCCAGACACCCCGTCGCCCCTGTCGCCCCTGCCACTGCTGTAAAGTCCACCTCCCACAGCTGCACTCTCTTCCCCTGTCACGCCCGTAATGTCTTTGTCAGGAGCCGTCTGCTGCAGATTTGTGCGTCTGATTTGGTAAGTGTCCGAGTGTCAGGCTGAGCTGTAGTGCCACGGGCCGTCCTTGGCTCTGGCTGCGCTGAAGGTGGTGGGATCTCTGTCATTGTCACTATGTATTTTTTATTCTTAGACCCAACCTATGACATAAATGATCTGGAACATCTACGTGGTGTAGATGAAAAGTTTTTTTGTTTTTTTTTTGGCACTTGTTTGCAATAATTCCCTATGGTGAAATATATATCTCTGTCAATAAAAAAAAAAAAATCTTCTTCATTTTGGTATTCCTATTAGCATAAAGTATTCCAAGCAATAATCAGAATACGTTTTTAGGGATGCACAGATACCAATACTGGTATCGAATATCGGTACTGACACTGAAAATTTAGCTGTATCAGGTATCTGTGCCATAATATCGGTTAAGTCAAGACCCTGGTTGGACCTTTAAATGGATGTAATACGATTTTTTACAGGCTGATTTTGTGCTAGAATGTCTCATATGTTTGAACATTTATCAACACTGTTCGGTAGATAATTGAATGATACGTAACAGTTACATAACACAAATGGATCTCTTGTGTAACAAGTTAACTGTGTTTTAAGGAAATAAGAAATATCAGTAGCGGTATTGAAACTGAAAAAGCTGGATGATGCTTCCGTATAGTTTTGTTGTATTAGACAGGTGCTGGTGCAAGAGAGGGGCGTCCGATTTGGTGCAATATGTAACTCTACCACTAGATGTCAGCAAGCCTTGTAGAGATTTGCCCTTCAAAAGTTAACTGTTAGAACTTTTTTACTTTGCATTCTCTTTTTTATTTAATATTCATATCTATTAATTCAGTCCTTATGATGTATTTAATTTCTGCACTACTCTACATTTTAAATATATCTTTAATTGTGTATAAATACTAAGGCCTCCAGTGCTGTGATTAGAATGACTTTATAGAACATGCTGAAGAGGTATTTAAAGAACCAGAAGAACCTGAGATGGGAAAATTGTTGTTCATTGTTGTCAAAGATGACAATAATTATGACAAAGCTATAATTGTTGGAGTGAGTTATTGTTTTTTTCCAGGTTCTTGTCCTCCTTTCTTACCTTTCATGTCTTCCCTGCCAACACCTTCCTCTTCCTTTATCTGTTGTTTGGTCTCGTCTTGTCACTCCACTGCAATCATCCAGGCAGGGGGGCTTGTCATCTGAATGTACTCATATCCCACAATGCAGTGTGTTCAGAGCACTACTGCACTTAAATGTCAGAGCTGATGAGGCTGCCACACCCCCCTGACACATCTGCAGATGCTGCTAAAAGCTTTTATGGACCAAAGTGTGAGCCTTCAGCATGATACAAATTAAACTTTGTTGTGGGGATTATGGCTGTAAACAGACAACTTTTGGAGAGGACATACTTGTTGGTTATTATATGAAAAATGAAAGTGAAAATATTAAACAAGGGATTTTTTTTTTTTTTAATATATATATACAATACTAGTGCAGACATACACTGAGAGCTATAGCAAATTAATCAATTAACTGTGAGGTTATAAAGTGTGCTGTATTGTTATCTTTCCATCAGTCTGCCTCAGAACAGCTGCAACTCTGGGTCAGGGGACAGATGGATGAATAATGCACAATGTAAAATGATTTCTAGAAACTGAAGTAAGTTATATTGCAATATTCAAATTAATTATATTTTGTCTCTCAGAACAATTAACAGCAGTTTTAAAAGTTTTTATTTAAAATACCAATATTTAGTAATAAATAGAACAATCTGTTGTCAATCAGTCTTCATCTTTATTTGTAAAACCTTGGCAGTCCAATCCAATAAATGTTGTGTTTACCCATCTATTCACAATATTTACATAGCATTGGAAACAACACAGTTGCTATTAAACTGCAAGTATAATATATACAACAAATGTCTGTCTGCATAAATCTGTGTAGCACAATATACAGATAAACTAGCTTTAGCTTCTCTAAATAATGTACAAGTTGTGATTCTATCTAAACCATATTTACAGCTCCTACTCCAACTATACTTACATTTTTTTTTTTTTACCAGTGTAATGCACAGTGTAATTTTGTGCGTACTTGCACAATATGAATATTTGGTTGAACTTCATTGCGAAAACACATAATATTGTTACAGTACAACAATGCTACTCTTATTAGTTTTGCCATTATTTAGTGATGGAAAAACTCAGCACATCCTATTGGGGCTACCGTGGTGGACTCAAAGAGAGACACTTTATTTCTGATTCTAGTGCTACCCATAGTGTCTATTCTAGAAACATAGCAGATCCAATAACTGCAGTTAAAGCATCTATGTGACATACAGGTTTGGATTTTCTGGAACACAAACAACTAATACATTTGTCGGAAAAAGGCTGTGAGTAAAAGACGGCACAAGTCAGAAAAGCAGATCATTTGTTTCTGTGCTAGTTTTTAAATATGCTACAAAATTATTGTCAATGTGCACATAAGTATGCACAGTGAATGAAAAAGAAAATCTATTTTTTTTTGTTATGAATTACTTTAAAATTAAAGCTAATGAATAACACTGTACTCACAATTGTCAATCATCATATATTAATACATTTCATGTAAAAGCTACTTTTGGTCCACACTATTTCTACTGCTATTATTACTAAGCTTGATTAAAGCAGGACAATGTTTATAATTGTACAGTAATAATTTGTAGTGCATTATTCAAAATAATGATTGAATACATGTTGGGGTTTTTTATGTGGTGGTATTGGTGGATATGGTATGTGCCTCATTGCTAACTGATTGAAGGTGCTTACACAGTCATAAATTCTCCTTAACCTTTTGTGTTTGGAGTGTGATCACTGGATTGCTCCTTTTCTTTGGAGTCTGCCTGGACAATGGGACTGACGCTTGGACTTGGGACTTTCTTCATCCCTCTGCGCTGCGCCAGGCTGGAGGACTGGACGGGCTCAAGAACAGGAGCTGGGGTGCACCGTCTCAGTGCGCAATATGTGGCCGACAGTGCCCCCTCGTGCAAAAACACAAGATCACGAGTATAAATGTCTAGCTAGTCAATCATCTATGTATATAGAGCCATCTACTGGTCAAAGAAAATACAAGACATTGAAGTGGACTGGGTACAGTTTTTTTTTTTTAAATCAAGATGTTTTACTCCCATCCAGGAGTTTTAACATGAAACAGACCTACTAATAGATACACTAAGGCACGGCCTTTTCAGGCTATACCTCCAACTTTTAAAACAGGGCTAATGTAGTTTAACTTCTCAAGCCAGTACCATTATATTGAAAATGATTTTGGATGGGATTAAAAAGTGGATTTCAAAAAAGATGTCCACTCGACTTTTGAAACCTTTTCTAACAGCAATAGCACATAGTACATAAACTCATCACAAGACTGGCATGACAAGAATACAAGACATTACAATTACACAATTAATTATTGAGGTTTTGAATAGTATTGCATTCAATGCATCATGGGCAAAGACCTAGACGAAAAAAAAAAATGTAAAGATAAATAATGGACTTACTTTGACTCTAAAAACATCTTGCCTTGTCAGGGCTTTGTCAGAAAGTTTGTCTCTCTCTACTATCCATGCATGACGCAGGACCTGAACAAACCCAACAGCAACAGAGAATAAATGTAAGTCTTGATAATATGAAACCAGCCCACAAAGCAAAACTGTTGACAGTACCTGTGGAGCCGTGAGCCGCTGGTGTGGGTCCACATGCAACATCTTTGTAACAAGATCCTGAGATAAATCCATAATATAAATATATATAAATATAAATAGAATACATAAACCAACCAAAAACAGTGCTGTAATTTGTGCAATTTTTACCTTTGCTGTATCTGACACCAGGTCCCAATTCCCTCCAGTGATTATGACTCTCCCACTTCCAATTTGGGCCAGTATTTCCTCTGCTGTGTCGTTAGGACTGCTGGCAAATGGACTGAAACTGAATCAAAGAAACAAGAATTCAGTGAGAGCAAATAAGGAGCTGTTTAACAAAAAAAGGGGTTTGAGTGTCCAAAGGACTTACCCAGCGATCATGGTGTAAAGCAGAACCCCCAAACTCCAAATGTCGCACGCTGCATCATAGCCTTGTTTCTTCAAAACCTGCACACACACAGTTTGTGTAAAGCTGTATTCATTCATGTGTGTAATTACGTATTTGAATATGTGCTCTGGGATACAGTATTATTACCTCAGGAGCCATAAATGTAGCAGTGTAACAGGGAGTCATCAGTAAACCATTTTCAGCTCGGAGCTGTTTGGCAAAGCCAAAATCAGACAAGCGAAGGCTTTCAGGCAGGCCGCTGTCATCAGCATACTGGATATTGCTGGGTTTAAGATCTCGATGAACAACCTGAGGGAAGATAGAAATGCTATTTTTTGTAGGATTTTTAAATATGAGGCATAAACCTGATAATATTTTTTTCCACAGATTGTTGATGTGCCCAATAGGTTTTGGTGTTATCAAAAGAAAATTAAAAAATATTATTTTATGACCCTAAAACACTAAATAGTAGTTTCTGGCTTACCCCTTGTGAGTGTAAATATTCCACAGTTTTTGTTAGTGTGCAAATTATGTCTGATGCATCTTTCTCTGTAAAATTTGGCATTGTCAAAACTCTGTCCAGCAGCTCATTTCCTCTCAGTAGATCTTGAACCAGATATGCGCGTTGCCCATCATCAAAAACCTAACATCAAATCAAGAACACACACGTACACAGATGAGATATGAGAATGTAATAAGATGCTCCCATTCAACAATAATAATTACTGTTACTGTGTTACGTGAACCAGTCAGTCCTGGCACCACACATAACTTACATCTTTTAAGGTGGTAATGTTTGGATGTTGGCCATAACGCAGCAGAATCTCAATCTCCTCTGAGGGATCCTTTCTGGTTTTGTCTATAATCTACAGGAAATACAATACAATTCTAACAAATCTGTTTCCAAAAAGAAAAAATACCCCATACTTTGATTACCTTTACACAATACTCCACAGCAGTAATTCGGTGCAGACATCTCTTACAAACTGATGTGGTCGTCTGTGCAATTTCTTCTTTTAGTTCATAAACTTCACTGAATGGTACATCACCTCGAAGATGCTGTGGGCAGAAGACAATACTGCTGTCATGATAGCTACATTTGAAACTCATTTCAAACTTCACACTATTGAAAAAGCTCGATACCACAGTGAAAATATACTATTTGTCAATAAATTGTGTTGTGCGTTGAGTCTTTCAGATCACACCTCTAGAATTTTCAGTTTGCCAAATGCTAAAAAGAGATTTTAAGATGGTAAAAACTTGGCATTCATTTAAAAGTACACCACAGTGGGATAAAGTCACAGCCTTTCAGGCTGTTTTGCAGCTATTTTGTTTTTTTATATACAGGGCCACCGTATCTCTATGTACGGTTTTGCAGATCCCCAAATTTATAGTAAACACTGGTCTCCTAACCATCTACATAGTCATTTTAAAAAAATGTAAAGCCTACGATTTAGGCCTTATGCAATTTTTAACAAAAATGTAACTATAATAATTGTACTATAGTAGGCTACTTTGCTTTTTGGCTCTATGTCATTGAACTGTCATTTGTGAGCTACCGTGTCCAAGTAACTTCCTTTGTGGATTTGTATATTAAAAAAGCTTCTTGAAGTCTAAGTATAATGGAGATCTTATACAACTTCTGATAAAGATCAGAATGTTTTTGACTCGACAAAAACTCAGTATTTCTTGATTTTTTGGATGATTATGATTACCTGTGTTGTAGTGTTGACATTATTCACCTCATTGCGGGAAGGTGCTACAATGTTAACACTGGCCTCTTGAGTTTGATTGGTTGCTACAAAGCTGAAGCCACGGAACAACTGATGTGTATTTGCACTGGGGGGAATGCCGGGAGAATCTTAACAAGAAAAAACAGACAAAACTAAAACATCTGACAAAAAAGTACTTAAAATAACACCAACAAAATATACTGCTACCATTTTCACACAAAGTACCACTGCTCTTCAAGTAGAAGCTTTTACCTGTGGGAGTTCTGGAGGTAAACTCTGGGTCAAAGTGGAAGGTATCCTCAGGCCGCCCCACTGAGGGTTTAAATGGAGGCCTCACTTCTTTTTTGTACAACTTCTACAATACAACACAATAACAGAAATATTTTATCGAGAAAGCACACACTGTCTAACGTCAATTATATCAATATTATCAATTATCAATGTATTAAATATGGCCAGCAGGAGGCGCCATTGGAAAAGCATAAGCCTGGCCAATTTCTATAACAGGCAATCGAGCCTTTAAGACTTATAAAACGGATTACTTTATGTATTTATTACTTAACTATACAATAAATCAGAACTTAACTGTCACAGGTTTAAGTACTACAACTGTTACTACAGATGATATGGTTCAGATTCATATTGTGTTTTACAAGCTTGTAAGATTTTTAATATGCTAAAATAGTGTAATATATAGCCTAGTGTTGTATATATTATGCTGTTTTCTGATCTATATTATAATGCTGTTTCCTCATCAAAAACACACCCTGAATTTTGTTTTGTTTCTTTAGTTTGAGTTTTTCTCTCTAACTGAAAACCGTTCCTTCTTGTGGTGTCATGTGGTGATACAGGAAGTGCTCCAATGTGTTTTTAAACTCCACACACCTTCAGCTCTAGAACTGCTCATCTCTGTTGAACTAAAGACAAAAGGTAGCTGTAAACTAGAAATCTACAGCTTCATGACTTGATGAAACAAAACACAACTCACACTGTGATGTGGTAAAGCATTATAACATGGTTTAAAGTTCACAGAAGTCAATTTTGCCTAATATAGGACCTTCAAAATACTCAAGCAAGATGTTTAGGGAGTTCTTTCAAGCACCATATCTGTAAAATTCTCACTGTCAAAGTGATTTAACTGGCAATGTGTAGAGGGAAAGACTAAGCCTCTTGTGCATTGCTTCTAACATGAGCCAGCATCACCATCTGCAAACGGCAGAACGTAGTATTTGGCAGCACATGCGTTAGTTTGGTTGGATGTGCAGTGTGGGATAAGCCAGGGATATAGAGCAGATGATAGTGGATTTTGTCAGAAAAGAGAGCATCACTGTGGATAAACATAGCAAGAAGCTGCTCCCATTAAGAATTACATAATTTGGCTAGTCAGTGATTTCTGAAGTCAAAACCATAGATTAGCAGCTAGAGAAAACATTATGTTAACATTACTGTAAAAGAAACTATTGTTGTAGAAGCAGTCAGAAGCTAATACATCATTCAAACAGATTTAATGTACTATATGGAAATATTGTGACTGCCAAAAATTATTAATTAAAAGAATATAACATTAACTTACTCTCACTGGGCCTTGTAACAGAATAATGTGTGTGTATTATCTGTACAAAACCTATTGCAACTGAATATTACCTCTTAAAAAAACACTCCCATTATTTATTTTCCTCTTATGATTGAAGATAAATGTAATGTTCAGCTACAGTTATTTTGTGTTTTGTTCAGTCAATATTGCATTTCCTACTCACATTCCAGTCAATGGATGCAAAGAAGCGATGTCTCTTTATCTCTTCCACTCCATCTGGCCCTGCACCTGTGAATAATGAAGACTTAAAATATGGGAAATATAATTGAGTCAAATACGTAAAATGTTTTAGAGGTTAGCAGTTAATTATTAAAATGGCTTGTGTGAAAGAAAAGTGGGTCAGTTGGTTTAGATTGTTCTTTGAGTGGATATAATTGGGTCATTTTTTATGTGAAGTACCGAGTCGATTAGCAGGGTTTCTCTTGAAGAGAGCTCTTAATAAACTCTGCACTTCAGGACTGAGGAACTGTGGCATTCCCAGCTTTGCCCTGCACACAGAAAGTACAACAGGTTTGCACATGTTGACATTCTCTTATTAGAAATATTTAAAAATAATTTTCTAACTTAATTTTAAAACAGAATCTAGCCAGAGTATGATCATCTGAAGTTAATTAAAAAGTACTTCATAAAGCACCTACTTGAGGATGAGTGCCATGGTTTCCTTGCGATCTTTTCCTTGGAAAGGTAAGGATCCTGTCAACATTTCAAACTAAAAATATAAAAGAAAATGCATTTATTGGAGGTTAAAAGCCTTAAATATGCAGAGCAAGTTGGTTAGTGTTCTTGGTTGAGGGTTTGGTTGAGGTCTAGTTAGCATAAGGACAGATTGAAACCAATGTTTTGCCCCTGATATAGCCACCAGCTGTCAGAGAACACAAGCCCCCTTTTGTGTATTTGTGAAATAAGCCCTAACAAAACAAGTAGTATCTAGCAGATGTGCGGTTATTGAAAGTGATGAGATTTAATCTGCCAGATTTGTTCATTAAGCAGCCGTTCTGGCAGAAGAAAGAAAATTAACAAACCAGAACATGCGTCTATAATCCAACAGGCTGAGAAGATATGGTAAACTGGCCTCTTTCATAGCAACTCAAACCAAGTGGCTTTATAATGCTCATACAACACAGAATTTAAAATCTTTTAAATTATACACATTTTATGACACAGAGAACGTGAGTGCTGATCAATACTTAAAGGTACGTTTTTGGTGGTGGGTCCGCTACCTGCTTGTCTCCATGGAAATGTTAATGCTTTGCCTAAAATGTATGGTATTAAGCTGATCTATTATCATGGAGACAAGCAGGTGACACCTCCAGGCCAAGTTATAGGTCAGATCAGAGGAGAGATGAGCCCATTCACAGTAACTGTCAATGTATTTTTAAGCAATAAAAACAGCTGTAATTGAAGGTGTTTTTATTGCCTAAAAAACAATGTGTGTATGTATATGCTAAGAATAAATGTTCATGGAGACAGGTGTTGATCCTCAAAAATATACATCGTTCAGTATAACAAGACCAAACAAACAAAAAAGCAAAGGCAATGCTTAATAGAAACGATATGATTAAATTGTGTCACAGATTTATGTACTAATAATATCTTGTGCACCTGGAATTTAGATTTTTTTGTTTTATGCCAACCGCAACAATTACTTTTCAAAAGATGTTCAGCATTGCATTCTCACCATGAGGACACCAAAGGACCACCAGTCTGCACTCTGAGTATGTCCTCTTCTGTTGACTACCTCAGGGGCCATGTACTCGATTGTCCCACAGAAGGAATATGCTCTTTTGTCATGGTCAATAGCCTCTTTACTTAGGCCAAAATCTGAGAGCACAAAAAACTTGGGTGTAAGGTCAAAATATGAAACCACAGAAAAGTATCTGAAGCCAGGTAGAATCACTGACCAGTGATCTTGATGTGTCCTTCTTCATCCAACAGAATACTATTTTAGAGACAAAAAATGCTGTTAATATTATTTTAAAAGGAGCGGTCACATGCATTATGCTGTATGTAATTTACTTTTCTGGTTTCAAGTCTCTGTAGATGATTCCCAAACTATGAAGATGGTCTAAAGCCAAGGCCAATTCTGCAAGGTAAAATTTCACATCTTCTTCTGTGAACATCACCTATGGCAATAAAAAGAAATTAGAAAAAAAGCTGTACTGAAGAAAAACTATTCACAAAACACACATACATTTTACAGCGCAGCTTTCTTACCACAGCAAAAACTAGGCAAATCTGCCCAGTTTTGCATATTCTTTTGAGTCACTTCATGTGTTCAAAATGTTTACCCCTTCCACAAAACAGCTTCCGTTAAAAAAAAAAAAAAACAAAAAAAAACAAAACAGTTTGGGTGGTGCCCAGAAAGCTTTTTTATGCAACTAAAGATATTTGGCACAGGAAAGGTACTTTGGCAAAATGACACAGCTCACCACAGGGGCGTGTTTACCGCCCAGTACTCTGTGTAATCCTTTCCTTTACTCTGAAGTTCTTTTTACTGGTCTTGTGGCTTTTACCTTTCATAGATCCAATACGCTTTAGGATTCTGTTTATTATCTGTCTGTAAATCAATTTTTCATGGATTTAATCTAAATTGCCAACATATAAAAGTCCCATAGTATATATGTGTTAGAGCTTTTATTTGTCAGCTTATCCATCACCATAAGAAAGGCCCAACCTCACCTTGAACTCTCTAAACAGTCCATCCCACCATCTCACAGCGCTCTCATCCATAATGTCTGTTTATGTAACCTGTGCTTTCCCATCAGCCTTCACAAAGCAAATATCGCATCTGTAGTAATCCAACATTCAACTACCCTTGAACTGAGGGTGCAAGTACTTTAGTGATTGGAGTTTGAGAGGATATTTCATAGTTTCACAACTTTAAAAGGAATGTAAAAAATTTCTTGATCTGATTTATATCTTGATACTGTTATACTGTTGTTTCTTAACACTGAGTTCTTCTCTCAGACGGAAAGCACTGTTCCATCTTGTGATGTCATGTGGTAATAAAATTGAAAAAATGGAGCATGTGTGTTTTTAAACGCCATATACCTTCACTAGAATCATTTAGATAATTTCAGCTATAGAACTGACAATCTCTACTGAACAAAATGAGCTGTTAACTTGAAAATTATTGCTTCATGACATCACAAGGTGAAAAAGAGACCAAAAAAGACTAATAATAAAGGTTGTCAAACATGTGTGAATGAAACAAAACACAACTCTGGGTATGTTGAGGAGGTAATGACTTTATAACAAAACATTAAGCTCAAAAGAGTCAATTTTGTGTATAGAACCTAATAATAATAATGATGATACACAGAAAGGACTTGAGCACACCCACCTCCTTTGACAAGCGAGTGAAAAGGTCGCCTCCTCTGAGGAAGTCAAGGATCAGATAGAGTTTCCCCTCTGTCTGGAAAGCTGCACACACAAACAGTGATAGAGCACATTTACACATCTATAGAGTATGCATAATTAACAGATTGCAAAAACTTTTACCTCATTGCATTTTCCAATTTTTTTATATTTTATTTGTTTAAATTTCATGTTTGTAAACTTTTGCAATTATGCCTGAAACTTACCATAGTGCAGTTTAACTATAAAGGGGTGATTGACTTCTGCCAGAATGTCCCTCTCCATTTTCGAGCGCACACGGTCTCGAACTTAAAGAAACAACATATTGAGTATATTATCAGTTATTATCAGTTTTGAATATGTAGACAGTTTACAGTATTGAATAAACTGTAATGCCAAGATTTGTGTCTTATTTGAGAGTTGAAATATTCTGAATACAGAAGTGCAGTTAAAGAGGATTATAGCTTGGACTATAAATTAGAAAGAAACCAAAATGTAGATCAAAACATTTGAAATGGCTTCTCCAGTGTAAAATAAAGCCCTCTGGCAAACCAAACAATCAGACATACAACCTAACCTCTTTTACCCAAATCCCTCTTTTACCCAAAAGTAGGCCACTCTGTGTAGTCTTGATGTTAATACTAAAATAATTCAGAGCTATTATGTAAGAATTTTGAGCTAAATGGTTCTATAGTAAAGGGGCTTGCTTGTATTACATTTACCTTTGAGTGTAGCTTTTTTAAGAACTTTCATGGCGTACAGCTGTCCTCTGTCTGCTCCTCGGATCTTCCTCACCAAGAACACCTGTAATTGAATATAGATATGATCACATTTATACAGTGTTCATAAACACTGGGGGGCAGGGCACATTATGTGTTTTGCTCAGGGACACAATAATAGTATTTATATGTTTAAACTGGGATTGAACAACTAATTTGTGGCCCAGGATATGACCATTAAAGCAGGAGCAGATTTGAAACACAAACCTTTGGATCAGAGGATAAGCACTCTATCTGCTTGAGTTGAGTAATGAAAGATTAGTTTTTAATTCCATTAAATACTTGTACTTGTAAAAATATAAGACTCTTCCATAATAACATAGGCTACAATGTGTGCAAATATTATAAAATTCCAGTGGGAGTATTGTGGGCACAGCCAAGGTGTGCTAGGAGGAAAACAGGTGGTCAGGCTGCAGGATGCGATCTCAGCTGAGCCAAGAGTCAAGAGTTATTTATAACCAGTGCCTGTCTGTGAGAGGGCTGCTTTCACAATGACCAACAGCATTTATAAAGGTTCTAGCTTAACGTGCTTCTGCACAGTGTGAGTACTTACCTTTCCATAGGAGCCCTGGCCAAGCACCTTGAGCAGCTGGAACTGTGAGGGGTCTGCTTTCTCACAGCCCTCCCTCACATGGTGGCTGATGTCAAACTCCTTCAGTATGCTGTCATCCTTGAAAAAGAGAAGCCAGAGTATGTCAAGAACACAAGACTGGCAATAACGTGATCAGGAAGAAAATCAATTAAAGGAGAATCAATAGCTTAAATCTAAGCAGCCACTATTTGAGGGAATCACCTGCTGTGACGTCATCTTGTAATATTGTGCCTGACTGACAGTTGTTAAATAGATTTATAAATAAATAATGACCAAGAAGTAGTTTGTGCTGCTGAGCCCCATCTTAAGCTGACCTTTCTCATAAAGAAGGTTACATTTGTACACATGGACATCAAAGCAGTGCACTGCAGATATAGGCAGTTGCACAGGTAAACAAACCAGCAGAGAGGCAGCCATGAGATACTAGCAGGCAAACAGACATCAACCTGAATCACCTTCATTTGGTCACAATAAACAGCCAGGAGACTGACTCCTTTTATTTCTATAAATATCCTCCAGCGCAGGTAGATGTGCTGAGGCAGCATGTGTTGCTAGTGATGTGGTTATAAATAGTCCTCCCAATGTTGGGGATAATTCAATAAATCAGTTTGTTCAGTTTTAATGTGTCTGTCATTCTGCTGACTGCTCGTTTATCTGTTACCAATCTGACAGAGTGCATTTCAGTTTGGCCTGTTTCCATCTGTCAGCCTCTATGGCCTTCTGGGACAGCAATGGAACATGGGTGCATGACAAGGTTTAACGCAGCATGTTATTTTACCAATCACATTCTCTCTCTGTCTCAGCGCTACAGATTGTCAAGTTGAAATTTTGACGGAGCAACATATTTTATAACGTTAATTACAAGTACGCAGAGCGCAACGGCGACGCACGCCGATTGCAGCACGCATGCACACACACAACATAATCTCTCATTGACAGAAGTTAACTTCTTTCTCGCCACGAGGATGAAAAAGATTCTTACTTCGAGCTGACCGAAGCTTGTGTTGTTCTTGTTCCTCGCTGCTTTGTTCTTCAGGTAGATGGAGAACCATCTCCGTACCGTGAATTTACGAGTGCTCGTATCCATGGCAATGGGCAGATGCGGTGTCTCTCTATCCCATGACTATGGACATGGTAGCCTACCCCACGGGAGGTCCTTAAGATAGATGCAGAAAAAGACGCTGCAACTTATGAAATGATCGTCTATTTGCCTCGCGCCAGCTCCAGTGGTCCATCAGGAGTGTGGCCTTTTAGCTTCTCCATTGTTTCCATTTGGTCCTATTACAGACTGCCCTCTCAGCTCAGCGTGTCAACTGCAGTGAGTGCAGGCACAGTCCGAGCTGATGAGCGGACGATGCGCGAGCGGTCACTGTGGACTAGTCCTCCCGCTGCCGGGTGCTGCGTTATGCTGCAGGCTGGTGTGACAAATAAACGTGTTCTGCCGATTCAGGAGAGAGCCGTGAGTGGGTCCCGTCTTCGGTCTCTCACATGTGACTGCGTGTATTACCCTGCTGTGCTGCTGTCGCTCTGCAGAACCAGGGATTGTTTCCAGTCACATTGTGTGCCTCACAGCTCCTCACATCTCCGCCCTCCCGCGCGCACTCTGTCGTTTCTGCCCTCACATCCCTGTTTCTCCACCAGCATACAGCAACAGCTGGTGAGGTCACATGGTCACGTCCTGATACCTCTGTTTGTCTGCCTCCTCGTGTCCTTTCTCTTTTGACACCAACCAGCTATTGGATAGATTATAATGCACAATATAATCACTGCAGTGGGTACTTTAGTTTAGTTTATCGTTAATGATAATAGTCATGCCATGGTCGTGCAGTATAGTGGATTGAATGTGGAGGTATTTGGATTTGGCACATCAGCAGCTTTGCAGAACTGCAGTGTTACATAACAAGGTAGAGAGCCAAAGAGATGAGACCAGAGCAAGGGAGGTGATCACTGGGTTTGTTAAATATTAACAAAGGGTGAATCAGGACTTCTGTTGTGGCATGTGTACCTGACAGTACCTGTATTGATTAAAAGGATAAATTGTGCTGGGATTTTAGCCCATGAGCAGTATTAAAGCAGACAAAGTGATTTGCGTTGCACTTTTCACAATGTCACCATGTAATGTAATGAAACATGTCAGTCTCCTGTGAACTGCAGCGTACAGAGAAGATTCAGGATTACTGGCCTGTCTTTGTCCCAGTGGGATTAAGGCTCTAAGAAGATCACAACATTAATATTTATACACTGTCAGGGAAAAGGCCAGACAGCCAGACAAAAACACTCTTAAATCAAACCCAAGATGCCCTTTATTTAAATCCAGTTTAAAAACAGATGCTTTGCTCTATTTGTAGCATATTAAGTAACTGAATATTAGATAATCAGACCTTATGTACAATGATTAGAAACATGCAAATAATACAATTATGCATCTTTATTTATGTTAAGAATTAAAGGTAGATATTAAAGTTTCATTCTTCATACTTTGACTATTACGCTACAAAGCTCAACTATTGATTAAAGACAAAATCAGTGGAGGTACAGATGGTGTAAAGAGTGTTCCAAAATGCAGCTACATAAAAAAGAAGAAATTACTTGGCACTGGCAAATCAAGTAATAATAAAGAGGTATTACTATTAATACCAGAGGTATTAACTGGCATTATTATTGTTAATATTAGTGAAATTGCTTAAAGCTTAATGCCATTACTTCTGAATTAAGCAGTGTGCCTTTTCCATAAGTAACAACTGCAGAGTACTACTTAGGAAAAAAGCTCTGCACATACTGTACATGTAAGCCTACCTATGAGGAATAAAGAATAGCAATGATGATGGTTTTTTGTAAACAAGTCATTTCTATAATCTAAAAAATCTATTCCTTCAACCCGTGTTACCAAAAAAGAAAAACACACATTAATGGTGGAGCGACATCAGGGGTGGATAGTAGACCGGAACTCCAGGATCACAAACAATGAAGCCAGGTTTTGCTTGGGCCTTTACTGAAGAGTTCACAGGTTTCTCTCTGGTCTCTCTCTCACAGTCCATCAAAGAGAAGTCAGAGGTGAAACAAATCTCTATCTGACCCAAAATCTGATAATCTGCATTCTACAGAAAACATGGGGATATGTTATCAACTATTAACAGAAAAAACATTAAAAGATCTCCATTAATCATACCCTTGAAGGGTGGACACACTGGAGCTTCAGTTTGGCGCCATAGAAGCCATCAATAGCCTCTTGAATGTGATCAAACTATGCACAAAATTACAGAAATAAATTATAATGTCTGCAAAAGATAATACAATTAAATATGCCAGTCTTACTTACCTGGTAGTACTGTTTTGAGGGGTTAATGTTAAACTTTTTTAAAACACTGAAAATAAACAGATGTAAATCTAGGTTGGTATCATAATCATATTAAATTATGTAAGGATTGAACAGTTGTAAATTGTGACAATAGAGCCATCCATTTTTGAGAAGCTATACCTGTCCAAGTCCACTTTATGGTATAGTTCCAGGGCTTTGCTGAAATATTTATGCTGACTATTCAGAGATTCAGCTTGGGCAGCACATGTTCCATGTTTGTACCACTCATATTTCCTGCATTGGGTAGGAACAATAGCAGTAATTCAAATTAGTATTACGTAAAACACCTTGACTTGATACTGTATGTAAACACCAAAACACTGCCTAAAGTTATATATGAAATATGTATAAAAAGAAATACCAAAATTTTGGAGATTCAGGACTGAGTAAATCTGGCCAACTTTTCTCCATGTCTGGAAGCAAATCCTACACCAAATAAAAGCCACTTTATATGACTTAAATATAGTTATGTACTCCATATGAGTAATAAAGACATTTGAGACAAACCTCTATTAAAGATATGTTGAAATGCCATGTTGAGTTACAGTCATTGCCATTGTTGGGCCTGTACAAAAATACTTACATAAAAATGTGTTGTTTGTCAAAAGTCGAATAAAGGAAAAAAACTAAACAAAAAACAATCTCACCAAAGTCCATGTAAAGTCCAAGTGTCAATTTTAGAATGACATTTCTCCATCTGAAATTATATACATTGAACTTTTATTTGTAAAAGTCAATTACACATTTTTGGGTGAACAGTAAGTCATATGACTGAAAGTAGGTTAACTGAACACATGACAGTAATTACTGACATAGCACTTTGGGAAATACCACAACAATACACACAAACAACCACACAAAATAGAGAACAGATCACACACATACCCCACAGAAGGTCGTGGGCCAGTGGTGTGTCAAGATAAGTTTGCTCCATGTATGTCTGAAATATCAGAATAACACAATGTAAGCCCTTGGGCTGATATAAGATTTATTTATTTATTTATTTTTGTTTTTTAATAGCTCGATTAGATATTTATTTAGGCCTACCTAGGTGACAGGACAAAGGCAGAGGCTGTGGCTGCTGCCAGGAAGTGGAAAAGAAACAACTTCATGTCTGACCTGCAGCACAAGTCACAAACATTGTAGTATTAAAAGAGATTGCCATAATAGCATTTAGCAGACTTAACCGGAGTTAAACATGTAAACTAAAAAATAAAATAGTCAACAGATCAACATTCATGATGAGAAAAAATACTTTAAGACAGCTTGACTGGCACCATTAGTCTATGGCTACTACAACAACAAAAGAAATGTAGCCTATCACACAATTGCACCAGCAGATATAGACTAAAACAGCAACAAAAAGAAAAAATGTTCAGGAGCCAACAGGAAACACCTATGCCTTTTAAAACAACGCGTTAGCTCAATTTCTCATCTGAAACGGTGCTCACACACTCACCCGTCAAGAACAGTGTAAGCCACATCAAAGTTAATGTATCGCCATCGGTTCAACTTGCTGCTCTGAGAAGTTCTTCAATTCCAATAGAAGTTCTGTATTAGGTACAATTGTTTAAGCGTTACACTTCCTTATTGAACTAAACGTTTAGCCAATCATATCCTGCAAAGATTTTACGCAGAGTCACGTGACCTTTTATTCCAGAGTCATGCGATACAAGGAGTATGCAGTTTATTGATTGTTTACTGATTTTGTTTCTGTCTCAGATGTTCCTGTCTTTATTGCTGGGAGTATTGCTTTTTTTTTTTTTTTGGTTTTGTTTACCATGTTAAAAGCATATAGCAGAAACAGCAGACTACGAACAATGACCAGCAGAGGGCTCCATACAGCAACCCACAGAAAAGCAAGCGGCCGTGATAACTTTCTTGCATGCATAGGCCTAATGACCTAAATTATGCGGTAATTTTGACACTACATTAAAGCAGGATATCCATTATGTTTTTTGAGTGATACCTAGTTGACTTGGTGCATCCAAAATATATATTCATCTTAACCTATTTAGCTACACTTCAATGGAGCCTATTTTTCTTTAGCGTACTAACAAACCTTCTATGTTGCTTTTCTCTTATCTTCCTCTACAGATCATTTTGGTGCCTCCAGCGTCCCTCCAGAGCGTCAGAAATAGCAGTAACTGTAGCTGCTTTTAAAAATAGTCTCTGGCCAAAGTTCAGCATACATCACAGTTTAGGCTACAGGGAGCTCTGAGAGGAAATGTAGCGGATCAACTGTAATGTTTACTGTAAAACCTCAAAAATCATTATGCCAAGTAAGATGTGTGAAAATACTGGCTTTAAGAAGATATTTAAGAGTTGCAATGTGTCATTTTAATAGCCCAAGTAGCCTCTTTATGGCGTTTTGTTATAAATCTAACGCAACAGGTGCACATGCAGGTATTGTTTTTTATACATATACTGTAAGCCTCACACCTGTAGATCTGTCTGTTTTTTGCAGTAGTTTTGCAGTTAGTGGCCGAGAGTCTTGAAGGATACTGGTTATATATAGGCAGCTCTCACCTTATAAGGCCTCAAGGAAGACCAGGTGGGGGTCGGGGGAGACGGGTGGTGGTTTCGTTGGCCTGGCCCAAGGCTTAGGCTGACTCCCTGTGGATTCAGGCTGACAGCCGAAGTTGCTCTAAGGGGATCTAACGGGGTAAGTAAAGCACATTTCCATCATTAATTCATAATAAATATTTAGATGATTGTATATGTCAGATGCAGGGCCTGTATTTAAACCTTTAGTAAATGCAACAGGTGGTAACAATGATGGGATAGGGAGCTATAGGCTATGTTATGGTCCCACAACAGGGCCTAATGAATGTGTCAAGTGATATATGTAATAACAATTAGTTGTTCTGAAAATAATGCCCATGACTGCAGCAGTTATATTCCAGTCTGTGTCAACACATATTTACTCTAAAACCTGATTAACTAAGTAATTTTCAAGTAGGCCTATGACTTATGGCTTATTGTTATTGGGTGAGTATCACTGTCTTCTGTGAGACTTTATTGCATTAAGGGGATTTGTACAGTTAAGGTTAGAGAACTGTGGTGGTTTACAGTTACTGACAGTGGGACTCGAGTGTCATTTGGTAGGCATCTTTGCTGGTACACTGTGGTGGAGAGGTGTTGCTACTTCAGTGCTATGAAAATATGAGCTGGCTACTGAAGCCAAATGATCACACTTTGAAGAATGTTAAGGTTTGGGTAGGGTCCATCTCTACTGGAAGCAATTTTCAGTAGACAAAAAACAATATCTGAATCGACCACATTAAATATTGCCCACAGGGTAATTAAGAGCATACACAGCAGTGATGTGTGAACATAATGATGTAACCCAAACGCACAAACACATATCATATGTGACATCCTATGTCAGTAATCATTAGACTGGACTGCTCTTGTTACTGATCTAATATTAAGACAATGTTTTACACACACAGTTATGAATTCAGTGGTCATTAAAAAACGTGTTTATGTGCCACTGGGCTATCACTTTTTATGATTATTAATTTCATTTGATCATTTTTACCTGTGTATAGGTGACAGCATAATTTCTCCTTACTGGGTGCACATTTTGGTTGTATACAGCCTCATCTTGTCATTATTGTGCTATGGGTAGCTACTATTTGCATGCATATCCTTTACAGGTGGACTTCCAATTTTAGGTCTTTGTGTTTGTGCCATTATCTGTCTGTGCATTTTGTACTGTTTTGTCTTGTATCATGTATGCTGCGGTTCAACAGGTCAGAACCCACTCTGTCATTATGTCGGTGTGGATCAAACCTGGATACTACGACCATGCATATCATCACAAAGAGAGCAGATATGTGGTTAAGGAGTACAGCAGGTACCATCTGTGGCAAATAACAACTAAACACCTGCTAATCTAGACTCTTTAACAGTAGTGAGCTTTTATGTATGTATGTGGTGTTGATAGCATAGGAGCTTTTTTTAAACTGACTTGATGTTTTTCATAGTTCACGTGTGTCACATAGAACCATCTCACCTGTGCCTTTACTGATACCTCTAGATAACAATGCAAACAATGTCTTAACTTACAGATCAAACATGTGTGGCTAACCAACCCATAAATCTTTACATTTACATCTTGATGCATTTATTTCAGGTTTTCTAATCTTTGTTTGTGTAACCAAAGACTGATTCTCTGAACTGTCTCTCTTTAGAGGGCAGAATAAAATGCACTGTTATGTTTGTAGATTTAGTGATCAGTGCTCAGGAAACAGGCTTGGTGCACAGATGGCTTCAAACAAGGTCCAGCTGCTGCAGTGTACTCACAGTCGAATTTAGACTAGTCACCAATAATTGAAGCCGCTACCAACAAGATATTTCAGATAAATACCAAGTCTTACACAAGGAGAAGGACTACAGTGCCAGTTTTTTTGTATTTGTCATGATCAGAAATTGGCTCATGTAAAACTACCTTCTAGACAATAAATCTCTACAACAATACCATATGTGATCTCAGCTATTTCAAATGCTTACAATAAAGAATCATTTTGCCCAAGTTGATTTTGTAAGGATTCATAAACCATGCATCATTTGCTTTGTAAGCTCTATTCTGAATTGACTATACTAAGCTTATTGGAAATAAAACAACTGTGCGGGTCCAGTCATAGCTCCTTCTTAGTCCGTTGGATTCACAGTGCAGTGAGTGTGTCTACTGGCTACACTGATCATTACAACTTTTAAAAACCTGGATTGTGAGCGTTGCAGTTCACTAATCTTTCTTGCGTCAGTCTTCTTCTTTCTTCTTTGTTGTTCTTGCTTTTTGTGCTACTCTTATGTCTGTGTGTTGCCTGTGTTCAGCTCTAAGACGACGGAGGACAGATATGAGCACAAAACACAAGCTTGCATCCAGGAAGTGGTAAAGATCACTTCATCGTTAGAGTTCCTACTTTTATTGCTACCATTTTCTTTTACTAAATTGGATGTGTTGATCTATTTAGGTGAGGTCAAAGATGTTGGACAAGTACGTGCGTGAGGAGCCAATGATCAGGGGTCCACACTTCCTGGTCCGACTCAGATCCCACACAGTATTTGAAAATACTCCCATTCAAATTTTCTGCACTGTGGAGGGCTACCCAACTCCTATTGTGAAATGGTTAGTTTGTAATTACTTCATAATTTGTTTTATTGTGTCAGGGTAAGCTAATATGTCTTTGTTTTTAGGTACAAAGATGGCGTCACTCTGGACATGTCCTCTGGAAGATATCTGGTCCAGTCCAAAGGTGGAGTGCACTCATTGGAAATCTCAAGGTACATGTAACATCAATGTATTACAAACAAGAGGTGGGTAGTTACATTAACTTAAATAACTCTTAAAGAAATATGAGCTTATTGGAGTAGTTTTCATACACCGCACTTTTAGTCTTACTTGAGTGGTACATTTTACATTGTGACAGTACTTTAGGTTTAGATTAATCTTCCCACTGTGTGTAAGTCTGCAAGTGACTGATGTTAGATGATTTCACCAGTTGTGTTTTTTTACATCATTCCTGCAGGTCTATCCATTGAAAATACCATATTAGTTTTTCAGATTTTATTTAGTTTTCTATTTTTTGTTCCCTATTCTTAAGTTACTTTATAATTTTGTTTCCCCAAATACTTTTTTACTCTTACTGGAGTAATTTCTCAGACCACTACTTCTGAGTAAGCCTGTTTAGCTCTGTTGTATATCACCAGATTCACCAGTGTTCATGTTAAGTTCAGTGCTGAGTTACTGTGTGAGAGTCAGCTGACTGTCTGTGGAGGGGCCATTAAGAGTATGCCCCTCCAGTCTCAGGAGTCTCAGCTGTTCGGGAGCTGACCTCAGTGCTATGTGATACTCCAGCACTCCTACACTCATTCGCTTACAGTCACTTTTAAATCCTTAACAGTTCTGCAGTCAGATAAATTGTTAGCTTGTGTGGTTTGTTTGAATCTAATACTAAACGCTTGTTAACCTTACTGCAGGACTGTTCTAAACATAACTGTAATACAAAAACCTTTATAGTCTGTAAGTCTTTTTCTTTTTTTTTTACATCACAACATTCCTGTTGACAATCCTCACTCACACATCCAGAGATTTACAGTAGGTGTCTGATGCAATATAGTCACCAGCAATGCCAATGGTAATCCTCTATGCCTCTATACCCATTGTTTAGCATTCCTCACACAGATTTTATTTTCTAGACAGGGGATTGCACCAGTCTTCCATCATTTTATTAATTTGCTAATGGCCCTAAACATTAAATTCTGTTTAATTAAAGTTCAAAGTTAAGTCATTTGTGTTGTAGCCTTATCAGTTTATTATATTTTTGTTTTGTTGTGTTTGAATAGATGTACAACTGATGACACAGCCCAGTACACTGCTGTGGCTGGTAATTTGCATGGACAGGCCTCCACTCAAGCCTCGGTCATTGTCAAAAGTAAGTCAAATTCGTAGGTAATTTAATTTTGTGCTTGCAAAATACAATTCTTCCAGAGGAGACTTTTAACAAAACTTGATAAGTAAACTTTGACAAAGGGTCAGCAATGCCAGTGGAGATTTTAATAGCTTTATTAGGGTACATACTTCTCTTGGGGCATGTACACAGCAATC